GGGATAAGCCCAAGGGCTTCAGGCCCTGGGTTGGGGGGCCTGTAACCTGAGCCCCATCACCCAGGGCTGAAGCCCTTGGGATTCAGATTCGGCCTTAGGTGGTGGGGCTTGGGCTTCAGCTTCAGCCCCAGAGCCCAGCAAGTCTAACGCCAGCCCTGGCAACCCCATTAAAATAGGATCGTGACCCACTTTGGGGTCCTGACCCACAGTTTGAGAACCGCTGATCTATACACTGTGCATTATACTTCTCAATCTCGGGTTCTGTTGATATGACCTCTCATGATCTAATTATACACGTGTTCAATGTGTCTGGAAATAACAGGGATGCTACGTAAAATGGCAGCAGCCCAAGAAATTCTATACAATAGATGCTGGTTCTGTGGGGTGGGATGGGCTAAGTCTTCGCACTGCTAACAGGTTCTTTTAAAAATTATAACGGATTGTGTGTCACTTGTGAGATTTGGGCTGGGTATTTATAGCTAAGATCATTTGAGGGTCAAAAAGAGGGGGTTAGGGAAATATTGCCCTGTTGTGAGGCACTCAGCAATCTCACCTATGTTTCAAATAACTCACTCTTTGCTAGCAGCATTCAGCACAGGTTTATGGAATACAAACATTTATTTACATTTATTTACATTTTGGGGTTTTAAATAAATAGTTTTTGTACTTGCTTTTGAATGAGTGATTGTTCCTTTGTTATTCAAGTGATCGGGGATTTCTTTGTTGTTCAGATTGCAGGGAATATTTGCCAACAGAGAATTGTAGCAGTGTTCCATGACACTACAGAATCCTACTTCTGTTCCCATAATACAATATTCTTTCTTGCTACGAGATGGCCTTCGCAAACCTGAAATGCTAGACTATGAAAATTGTTCTAGTAGTTCACAAGTGCACTTCTCTTCCATGGAAATCTACATTGCTGCCCAAACTCATCCCCATTACAGAATGCATCATACATACATACATACTAGCTTTTATTTACAATTTGAGAACAAAGTGTTGCAGTCGTTTGTGCAATTAAATGGATACTGTCAGTCTGTTTAGGGCTCAATATGTACCTTTATTAAAGGATGAAATCTTAAGAGGCAAGCCAATTAGTGGTCTTGGATACTGTATATGTTTTTCACATGTTCAAAGATATGACCTAATCATTGTGATGAATTTGTAGACGTCCAGGTTAGGCGGCAATGTAGTCTTGTGTCTCTCTAAGTCTTCCATTTACACGTTAAATGAACTTGGGCAAGTCAGTGAGCTGCTCTGTGCCTTTGTTTCCCAACTTCAAAGTGGGGATACATTTCGCTTATTCACCTATATAAAATCATTTTGAGTTCTATGAATGAATTCCTAAGTTCTATTCACTGTTGTTGTTATTTTACTTTAATAAATTATTCCAAGCAAGCATTGTTTTTATTTGACTGACTCAGGCCAAAGCAAGTCAGTCAAAAATAGTAAAGCCTATCATGAACAAATAACTACCTTTTGATGTTCATTAATATGTTGAAATGTTACTGATGGGGAGACTTCCTTTAGATCAGGTAACCTGCTAAAGCTACGTTCTAAACAAATCCCAGAGTCCGTAGAGGCTCCTCTCTCATTACGCTGGCACATTGCATAAACAGTGGCATGAGTCGTGGCCCCAAATCACAAAGAGAAATTCTTTATATATAAAGTATTTAAATGTCCTAAGAAATAACACACAATCACATAACACATACCACTGTGTTCACATTTAGCTCTTCCCTACTCCAATTCTTTCTTCCCCCTCCCTCCCACCTTACTGTTTTGAATTATACGTGACTCCTGGAAAATGAAAATTATCCACATATTACTGTAATTGAATCAAAGTGCTGTTTCTGAAAAAAAAGGTGGTATTTATTTTCTGGCAGGCTCAGGGCTGCCTGTTTGTGATCACAGTATTCTTAGTCACAACAGGAAAGCCATCTTAGTCATAAACCACATTCATTGTTACAAAATCATGATTGGGCTCTATTTATGGCTTTGCATACCCATAACTGTAATTACATGCAGCTTTTAGTAGTTTTGAGATTCACCCAAGCATTGTAGAAATAAGCCATTTGCAGTAACTTGGAATCCTGCTGATACAATACTTTTACAAACAAACTAAAATAAGACATTTTGGTGGTTACATTTAAATTTGCCATGAGGTTTGGAATCCAGTGCTCATCAAGCTTGTAATATTTAATTACAGGATCATCAAGCATGTAAATCAGTGCAATGCTCTGCATCCTCAAAATGTCCACTCTCTGGACAGTTTGTAATTCATCAGATGCAAAGTTGAGCCGGTCTTGCACTTCCTACTCAGGCAAAATTACCAGTTAAGGGCCCAATCTTTCAGGCCCTAATTCTGTAAGGTACTGAATGGAACTACTGAAGCTTCAAATACCTTGCTGAATCAGAGGTGCGGGCAGCCAAGTGCCTTCAAGTAATGGGAGTTGAGGGCACTAAGTGCAAAATTGTTAAAAGCATTTAGGCACCTCAGGCATATAAGCACCTATATCCACCATGTAAGCACCACTGACATTGTTAAAGCACAGCTCAAGCATTGCCTAACCCTCTCTAGGTGCCTATGTCCTCCATCCTAAGTCTCCACTGTTAGGCTGCGTTGGAGATGCCAAAGTGGTACTGCTAAGGAGCTGCTCAGAGCCTTAGCCAAAGCCCAAGCTCTGACATGGGATTTTTAAGTTAGGCAGGGAACACCTCTCTCTCCCACCACCCCCCATTGGCCTGGAGCGACAAACCATGGCCAGTGGGAGCCGCGATCAGCCAAACCTGCGGACGGGGCAGGTAAACAAACTGGCCCAGCCCACCAGGGTTCTTACCCTGGGGAGCCGTGTGCCCAAGGGTGCCAATCCCTGCTGTAGCTTCATCTCCGCCTCTCTGAGCATGCCTAAAACCTGATTACCTGTCAGACTCTGCAGCAGGTAGGCTAGAGGCAGGCCACCAGTAGGAGCAGCACAGCACCCACCCACAAGACAGTCAGCGGCACAGGGAAACATAGGATGAGCTTGAGAGAGGTATTGAGCATGAGCAAGAGACTGACAGTTTTCTCTGCTAGGGTATGTACTAGCTAAGCGACTGACCTGGCTTAAGTGCCTAACTCCAGGGGAGGGTCTGCAGCTGTGGATCACAAGCAGAGGTAGGTACCTGTCTTGGTCCCATCAGCCAGGTGCCCTGGGTTAATGACCTAAGCTCCTCTAGTGTCCCCACCTCTCTTCTTGGCATTCACTCCTCACTAGCTTAGGCAGTTTCTCCACTCTGCTGGACAGCTTCTGAAAATCCCTTTCTTAGATGCTTGACTGTCCCCTGCACTCTACAGCATGGAGCCACTTAACTCAGGGCTGAAAATTCTACTAGGTTGTGGGCTGACCAGCTCTTCTCAACAAAGCAACACCTAAATCCCTTTAAAAATCTGGCCCTATCATGCAGGTTCATCCCCTAAATGAGAGGGCATTTTGCCGAAGTAAGGAGAGCAAAATCTGGCACATTCTGATTTGCATCTAACCAAAGAAATGCAAATTGCTCTTAAATAACTATGTAATTTGCACTCTGAAATGTCTGTTTATTCTGAACTTCTTGTTTCCAGCATGCTTTGGTGTGCAGTTCAAAATGTAGAGATAATAACGCTGCTGCTTTTACATGATGTCCATCAGAGTAAATTGCATGTGTTTCACTTAATTAGTGATAATCGCATGTAAATCAAAGTATAAATTAGGTCTCTTACTGGATCATAATCTACAGCTCTAACACCTTGTAAATGATAGACTAACATGTTATGCTTCAATATCTACTTCTGGATCCTTCTAATTACTCTTTGGAGCTGTTGATATGGCACAACATGCAAAAAAAAATCAAATCTATACTCCACAATGTGATGGAAATACCATGTGTCAAGTTCTTATAAATTGAGAAGATGAACTAAAACTACAGTTTTGTTGTTGTTGTTGTTAGAGCAGATGCTTTTGAAATTTTTGTGACTGTTTTGCCAAGTAGGTACTAAATTTTTAAAACAATTGTCATTTGTTTAAAGATTTTTAATAGCTTTAAAAATGTAGGTTACATAGGTGTGTAAACTAAATATAATGCCATCTGACACTTAGTAGCAAGGCAAACGTTATTGACACATCACTATAATGCACCTCATTTTCATCTATATTATTTTGGGTAAGTTGTATGAGCTGCGTTATGCAGGTGGTCAGACTAGATGATTACCGTATTCCCTTCTGTCCTTAGAATCTATTAATCAAGTAGAGCTGCATAAACTAGTGCTGATGTCAGGTTTGTTTTAAGGTTTATACGAGCGAGTGCATTGAAACTTGAAATTATCTGTATAAGTTATATCAACTGGATACAATTATTTATGATATTGAGGTGCAAATATTAAGGCCCCAATCTTGCAATAAGATCCATATAGGCAGATTCTTGTGCCTGTGTGGAGCTCCATGGACTTCAGAGGGACTCCACAAGGATCCAAGTGTCTGCCTATGTGGATTGGATTGCAGGATCAGGACCTAGAGTATGGGAATTTCATCACTGACATTAATAGCAGCTGAATCAGGCCCTCAGGCATTAGACACAGGTAATCGTTAATCTCTAGTTTATATCCATAAAATGTTGACTTTGTTTTTCGTGTGGTGTTTGTGACTTTGGAGCTATTTTGCTAAAAACATTCAGCCCATTGCTCACCCTCCAGTCTACTAGCAGAGGGCTGTAAAAGCAGGCAAACTAGAGCAGAACAGCCATTCATGCTGCTTCCTCTTTGGCTCCCTATTCCCCTGCACACTTAGAATCCATAGAGCACTTCTACAGCAACTCCAGGTAAATGGGGATCTGCAGATTTGGATGCTGTTGTAGAGGAAGGAACCACTCTCCATGACTCCTCCCTCTCCTCCTTTATCTGATGGATTTTCACTAGAAAATGCCTGCAAACTTCTCCCCATAAGCAACCATGTCTTCCACTCTCTCTCTCTCTCTCTCGTCAGGTATTGTACAGCCATGGAGGATTCGACTATCAGTCTGGTTCTTAAAGGAGTCAGCCTTCTGTGGGAAAAGAGAGGACCCTGCAATAAGGATGGGGGATTCCTGAGTTCATGCATTTGACCCCTGTTTTCCTATGCATCTATGGGGTTTGCAGGCTTGGCTTCTACCGCACCTGGTAGTAAACTACTCCCACTGGAGCAGAGAGATGATGTGGAATAAACTCCATGAGCAGAACCCCCTCAAGAGTTTCCAGCTGTATTATTCACCTCATGTGGATTGTCCCACCCATCTGTCTATTCCCATAAAACCTCCCTTAGCTTCTTTTTAAGTCTTTCTACTCCCATTGAAAACATTTATATTCTCGCTGCCATTTCTTTGTGAACTGTGCTGTAGCTACTTTCCTTTATCACTAGTGCTGACTTTAGGACATATTGATACCCAACATATTCAGTTTTGTCTTTGGGAGGCTTCCAGGGAAGTCCTGAATTTGTGAGTGGGAGATAAAGATGGTGATTGCAGCGGCTTCAGGTGATGTTCTGTGTTAACACACCTTCACTTTGCACACTGCTGGTGGCAGTTATCTATGATGCTGCAGTTCACTTTGAATGCAAGGATTTAGTATGGATTTCATATTACAGTTTAATTATATAAAGGAAAGTTATTCCTCTGACACTTTGTGATATAAAATATAACCACATAGAACTAAAACATTTAGTTTAATGTGTTCTCAAGATATGAAACAAAATTCATCATTGATTCCCTTTGTTTATTACTGAAAGGCTTTATTTTGAAATCATACTTCTATTCTTTGTGTG